TCCCGATCAGCCTTTCCTCTGTCACTCTATGACAACAAAGATGCAAAAGTTCAACACTACGCCGCAAACTGTGAAACATAATTTTTGTTTGTATCGAAAGGTTGTATTCTATAGTACTTGGAAAGTGCTGCTAGAATCGTGTGGTTAATATAAATTGATGACAATTCCTTGATCGTAAGTATAGAATGTAAAAATTTTGGTAAGTTTTCATGCAAAACTTTGGAATATTTTTTTCTACGTTTGGAGAGTAGGATTCTAGCAGCACTTTACATGGACCAGTGATGTTTTTACATAATTATTTTCAAAAAAAGAAATGAATTATTCCCGGGGTAGTGTTGAACTTTTTACTTTTCATTAAGGCAATTTTTCTATTTATAGACGTCACGTGATGACATCGTAGTGGAGTACTTCTTTTAGGCTAAGACCCAATGACGTCTTTACAATGGAGAATAATAATAAATGTTTAATCCATGGCTTTTCCGATTTATCAATGTTACATTTTACGAAAAAAGTCTAAATTCGCCGAAATATGATCTGTATACTGCCTTAACATACCCGCGCAGAATTTGTCATACTGTGGTCAGTGTTATCTGTGTCTTATATTCCAGTGATACCTGCATATGCGAAAAATCATGGGGGTGTTGATATAACATATATGTATGCCCCATAAATCTAGAGTGGTGAATTTAAAGCTTTCATTGAGGTCTGTTTTCAAATATTTTCATTTTTATTCTCTTTTTTTATTTTCTTTTAATTATTAGAATTCAGATACATGTACTTAGAATATAAATGAAATCATCTGCATGGAAATAATTATTCAATTTTTTTACACAGAATATCAATTGAGGACGATTTCTTTAACTATTTTTTTAACCAATAGATTTTCTAAAAAAAAAAAAAAAGAAAAAAGAAAACTCTGCAATAACAGGTAAAGCTAGTAAATTAATGCATGCTCCACTCTCACAAACTGCTAAAACAAACGGAATAATGTCTAAATATACTTATTATCCACCCGGTACATATCTGCTTTGTACTTAGTAGTTAGTAACAACTTATGACATAATATCTCGAGCGCACAACATTATAGATATATCACATGGCATCGAGGGTGACATACCTTAATATTTGCTCTAAGGTGACAGGAAAACACAGGAGTGTTATGTCACCCTATGGCTATGGCAGAGGATGACATAACACTAAAAGGGTTTCCTTTCACCGATGGGGGGTGGGGGGGGGGTGGTATTCTGGTATAGTCACCCGAGAAGCCATGAGGTATGTGTTATAATGTTATATAACAATTTTTAAAATGAAAAAAAAATCAAAATCGTCTTAACGTTTAGACAAATAATCCATAAATGCTTTCATGACGTTATATTTACATTTGCTGTGTTTTTTCTACGACTTTTCTACAACTGTGAAATTCATTTGAAAACCATTTTTGTGTATACTCAAGCGTAGAAATATACACGGAGATACTCGCGCTAAAGTGACGTCACAATGAAGCTACAGAGACATTAATAAGAATTTGACGATGTAGATGACATGTATATACATGCAGATAAACCTGGAATTTCTAAGACCAGGGACCTGTTTTACAAAAGATCTTACGACTAAGACCAAAATTTAATTCTACTTATAACTTTCTATTTTATATTAATTTGAAAATAATTTTAATATTTTTTAAAAAGAGTTCAACATGATATTTTTCTGCTGGCAATTTCAAACAAAATCATTAATTTTTAAAAATGTTACAATCAACTTAAGTTTTGGTCATGATCGTAAGTTCTTTTGTAAATCGGGCCCCAGATATACCAACTCCTCGCGGCTGGGATAAGGTTCTCCGCAAAATATCGAACTGTCCCAAGTGTAGTAACTTCTCTGAACTACCTATATATGACTTCATAATAGCATATGACGTAAGTCACTACATACTTGAGCTGACATGATGGGGAAAGTTTCATAACTTTTACTTATTCCTTTCACATGACATGTAGGAATTTTTAGCGTTGTTGTTTGATTCAAGTGCCTGGATTGTTCTTTAAGCTTAAGTGTGCTTTTATGATGTTGAACATTTGCAATTTACTATCGTTATTCCTTTAACTTGTCCGATATACATATATGTTCAAACAATAACAAAAAAAAATTGAATGTAAAACGCTCCCCCTTACACGTCCGTGTGAATTTATAAATCGTGTATACATTTGACTGGCACAAGTGATTATTAAGGACAAATTGAAGATATTCTGTGTGCATCTACTAGAGAATTATGTCCTCTATCTGAATTTTGCTGTGGGATTGTATGTAATTTATCCTATTTTGTATAAATTGCGATAAAGAGTGGAAAATGACCCATTGTACGTTGGTGAGTTGATTTTCTCGTGGAATATTTTCTCAAGAAAAAAAATTCAGACTTGCCCCCAGCACTTTATATGTACCAAATATCACGATGAATTGATTTATGTGACAAATTTTCCTCAATAATGTTGTTTTGCACTTGTGCCGATGCGATTTGTGTGCAACATTTAGGACTTTATAAATGTCCGTCACGTGATCAACAAAGTCATGTGACATCACAAAAATGCATTATTATGATATCTGATTACACTCTCATCACAAGTTGACTGTGAATTTATACATAGATTACAAATTGAAATTAAAATCTAGTTCAAAATAAAATGTATATTTTAATGCATATTAAGCCTTCGGACAGCCTTAACATAGCTGCGCTCTTTGTAATTGTGACGTCATAATAGGTATGGCATAACAATGTCCTGAGTGTGAATCTACCGAATAAGTGTTAAAAGAGTGATGAAAACTTTATTCTTTTTTTTCAAATTAAATTTGTTAAAATCTTGCTCGGCCGATATGCATGCTTTTCTGTGAAGCCCATATATATATATATATATATATATATATATATATATATATATATATATATATATATATATATATATATATATATATATATATATATATATATATATATGACATATGGCTTTAGGAGACCAAGGAGGATATATTTTCTGGCTTAGGGAGACCTCTGGATTAAGGCGACCTTTTTCGGTCTCCCTATTATTTTGACCTCATCAGTATTGCAAATGTCTTTTTATAGATAAATAAACAGTCTGCCATTAAATATTATTAATCTTTAACTCTGTTATTTAACATTCAAAAGTTGTCTAATTTCTATCATCTTCCCTAAAAAAGGAAAGAAATTATAACCTACGTATAATTTCAAAGGATAATTTTTCTGCATTTTGGAGACCATGAAAAACATGCAATTAAACAAAAAATCTAGCATATATATTTTTTCCGCTTTTGATTTGTTCAAATGAGTGTTTCTTTAACTTAGTTTTCCATGTTTTATGTTAAAAACCTAAAAAGGAAAAATATTGTAAATTTATGAACCATGTTTTGAATTCTTAGCAAGTGCTTTCCGTCATTTGTTCCGAATGCCATCGGAATGCCCCTTCAGTTTTCAGAAAATGACCTCTGAACACCATGGATGTTGAGAAATTTGGGTAAGTAACTAAAATGATACAGTAATAAGTTGTAATTAAGAATACACAAGACAAACATTCGGGTTTTTTTTTTCTTGCCTAGTAATTTAGCTTTCAAGAGAAAAAGTGTGATTTTAAATAATCATTAGACTATAGTTCGGTATATAAAATCCTGAAGAAAATTCGAAATAAAGTTAAATGATAGGCCCCTATATTTTTTAATTCTTTTATGCAAGTCCACAAACAAATTAAATATTTAAAGATTAGGCCGAACGTTGAAAAAATAGTCTCGCAAGTTGACGCAGCTATTTCGAGCTTAAAAATTTAAATTAAACATTCTGTAAACATCATGCAGGACATGATCATCATGATATAGTATAAATGAAACAGACCCTGTAAGAAAAAAAATAGCTGTAATTTAATAATTGTTTATTAATATAATGTGGTCCTCTGCTAATAGAATATATGTGCTGTAAAAAAAAAATCTGAATCAGGGTGAAGCAGATTTGATACAATACATGGCTGAAGGAACGGGGGGGGGGGGGCGCAGGCCCCCTGAATTTTTGCTGAAATTTAGGTATACTATAGAAAACATTGCTCCTTTATGCTTGGCCCCCCTCAATAATAACCTCTGATGATCTATTTTTCTTTTGCTTTTGGGCCCCCTCAATAATAACCTCTGATAATGTATTTTTCTTTTGCTTATTACAAATTTTTTGGTTTGTAGCCTCCCCCAACCTGAAACTGAAAAATGTTGTTTGGTTGTGCCCCCCCCCCCCCAACTAAATTACGTACGGGCCTATTCTCCATCCCTGAGGTTTTCTTTCACCAAAGAAAGATTAATTGGTAACAGTTCAGATATATATAGCAATATTTACGGAAGGGAATATTCTCGTTTAATTATGAAGATGTGACAGTAACTCAGTCAAAGCCACAGTGAGTGTAACATTTATTTAATATTATTGTTAATGTTTACAAATAGTGAAATACTGATACTGTGAAATTTTAATGGAAATAGAAAATATAAAAGTACAACCATTTATTGTAAATCACATACATGAAAAGCTTCTTTTTTTTCAAGCAATTGGAAATTCTTCATTTTTTCATGAAATTATTTTATTTCGTATGTGTGATAATTTATTTCGTATTTTAATTCAGTCAACAAATCATTGTCGCAGCCTAGTTCCCTTCATTATTTTCAGCAGTTCAGTGACAGAGATAAAATGATCATTTGAGGTTTATACCCCCCCCCCCCCCCCACCAAATGAAACTGAAAAATGTTTGGTTTTGATCCCCTTCAACTGAAATTCATTCCTACTTACCCTACTTACAGGCTTAACTATGAAGATGTGACAGGGAGTGTAATAACAATAATTGTTCAGACGGATACATATTAAGCTGATATTCGTATCAAATTTTAATGGATAGAAATTAATAAACAATTACAAACATTTATTATAAACTACATAAAGATAATTTTTCAAGCAATTTGAAATTCTTCATTTTTTATGATAATATTTTATTTCGTATATATGTTTATAGGTTTATTCGTATCAACAAATCTGTGTACGAGTTAATAACGCAGCCTGGTTCCCTGCATTTTCAGTGACAGAGAACCAGAATAAGATTGTAGGGAAACAAGCCTTGTTACAAGGTTTGAGGTTTGTTTATTTTATATTTTAATTTACACTTTTTAAAAATTATTATTATTATGCAAAAATCTGTGTGCAGATGAATATTTACATTTTAATGTTATAAGTCGTTTTGTGGTTCATATTTGCGGTGACTGTCCCACGTGTGTTTACCTGTTTACATTCACCTACTGACCTAGAGTCTTCAAAATATACCTTCTGTAATCATGACTGTTGTAATCTTGTTTTTATGTTAGTTTACCGTATGTAACTTGACTGTTGTATAGATTTATAGCGATCACTGCAAGCTTTTAATATTTAGGTGAAGAGAAATTTCAGACTATCAATCACAGGCACTTGTTTCATATACGGTGCACCCCTACTTATTTTTACCACAAGGTATCTAACTCAATTTCAGGCACCCCCGCTTCAAGCTCGTATTTTGTTCATGTATCATTATCAATCATTAACCTACTTTAAAATGACATCGTTCGCTTCAAGAGACTTTTTTCTTGTCAAATAAATCGTTTCAGACGTCTCTGGTCGAGTCTCTTTATTGTAAAGCACTTATTTATTCCACGAAAATTACCTCGATACATTTTAAGACTTTAGATGGGATACAACTTCCAGTTGGGGGTAGAATAAAACCAAAGACTTCCGAGTATTCCATTCCGAGGTCTCTGGTTTTATCCTTCATTTATAACCCCAACCGCAAATTTGTATCGAAAATTACCTTGATACATTTTAAGACTTCAGATGGGATACAAATTTCATTTTTTTTCACAGGTCACGAGGTTTCAACTTAAAAAATAAAAATTATTATGTAATAAAGGGGACTTTATATGATCACCCGGCGCTGTCGCTTTAGTTCAGTCTTCAAAACAATTCTTTTTCAGCACATGCCCTTCGGGCATGTAGACCTATCATTTTTACCCAGCCCATTCAAATTTGTACATGTCCTACTCAAAATTCTTACATTTACCAGTATTGTGCAACAAAAAAAACCCTTTAGGTATAAAGGTTTTATATTAATTTTTTCAGCGTTGTAAACCAACCATGGCCTGTGATTGCCATTTTCTAAAGTGTTTTTGTTCATAAATAACTTTTGAGTTGCATGCTAGTCATTTGTTGGCCGGTTTAGCTGAACTGAATTTCAGAAATGGGATCATGACTGTAGTGCCACAGTATGTGGCATTGATGAACATTTCGTAATTTAGCAAGCAACTTCGAGAAAACAAATAGGTTAAACTAAACACTTCAATGATTAGAATGACAATCATTTGACAGGTCGTATCGAGAATGTAGACAGGCAATCCATCGACATTACATATAGCAACGTTTAAGCGAATAATGGGGGTAGGACAGAATAAACGGCAAGTAAAGATCGTACAATGAAAGAAGATTCACATATGCCCTCTTCGGACATGTAATTTGGCAATTTTTACATGCCCGGCTGCAAATTTAACAGGTCCCTGGCATTGGACTCCCGGGTTATTTGGAAGACTGTTAGTTTTAATATATAGTTTCATGAGGTCCGACAACATTGATTCTCAATGTCTGCTCCCTCTACCCCATACACTTATCTTGATAAAATTATATGAATTATATTATTAATTATATAAATTGATATAAATTATATAAACTGGTCTTGCTTATATAATTTTACAATGTCATAAACAGCTGCTTAAGTGCATATAATATTGTAAATGGATTTATATATAGGATTAGGGAAAGATCCTCACTTGATTATGGCAGCATATTTAGCTCGTAGGAGTTTATTACATGTATCTACCACACATGATCAATGTCACTTTTGGACGTGAATGACTTTTGACACCCTAACTTCAGTTCAAATCAACGTTAACTTTATGTGATGTCTCTCTGAATCTTTTTTGGCATGTAACTTGGGTAAAAACAATTAAGTACTCTTGATGCATTTGATTTCTCTTAGCCCGTTTAAACATTTCCAAGGTCTATACCAGTTTTTGCAGGGGCAAAACTATGTAGAAGTTGGAAAAGAAACCCATCCCCTTTTTGACGTATTTGGTTTTCAAGGGGTGAAAATTTTCAATATTACACTCAACTACATGCAATATTTATTATATTATACTGAATGTTTTATACAAATACAAATAATAGTGAACCTTGAGCGCATAAATCTGCGCAGTCACTATTTTTTGGAATATCACCCGTCGTCAAGTAATGTTGACTGTTGCGACACTGGGCGTGGCTTCATTATTCAGCGAATAATAGTGCTTTTTAACAAATGTTTCTTGACGAATCAGATTAATTCATCTAATATACCTGAAAGTACAATATTAATTAATTGTCATCATTTACCTATATTAGCATTTTTACTGGTACAGTAATGGTTTTGAAATGATAGGAACATGCACTGTTCAAAAAGTCTTAAAATGTTGTTTTGGCTCAATTTCTTTGTTAGATTACTGTGTTGAACTAAGGCAGGTCAATTAAAGTAACATGATCCTATAGATTCCATGTACATTTAGTACTGTAAAGTAGACAAATTTATTGTTCTCACAAGTAGTTCTCAAACATTGATTTAAGTTGGTCTCCTGAAGGATGTAATAATGCAATTGGTCTGCTTAAGGTACAGTGTATAATATAGACATGCATATTTTATTTTGAATTTGTATTATGTCAATCATTAGAAATATATGGATCTTAATTAAAAAACATTGTTTTCATTAGAATTTAAGATATGTATAATAGGCATATATTCTTCATGCTTTTCCATAGTTAAGTCCTTTTTTACAGGGTCTCTGCTAGAATCATGTGGACCCCAGTGTAACAAATCTATGGAAAGAGAGAAAATCTCAGCTCAAGGGTCAACATGTCTTTATTCCAAGAAAGGTAAATTGATAATTTTTTCTGCTAAAATACTCTTTTATAAATTATAATATCAATGCAAAAGAGTGAACAAACAATGTACCTAGCAACATTTTGAAAATAAAAGTGCAATAACAGTTAATAATTATGATCAATCGAATGAATGTTAATAATCCAATCAAAGTCCTTGTTGTATATCATTTTTGCTAGGGCTGTGTATTGAGCAAAAAAAAAAAAAAAAAAAAAAAGAAAGACATTTTTTAATGTGATATGCAATATATTGAATTCTTTAACAATTCTGTCAAAAAAGTCTTATAAATCATTATGCATGAATTTTATAAAAATAATAATTGTTTTTGACTCATTTTTAATTTTTTGTCTCACCGTCTTTAAAAATTACACTTCAAATTCAAACTTTTCTTGACTGTAAAATCAACATGTTAAGTAAAGTTGTCTATGTATTTTTATGATTTTGTAATAATCATTTAAGATGTGCTACCTCCTTAATGATTATATCATTTTTATCAGTTTTAATTCAAAACAGTTTCCGGTTAATATAATCTTTGGTGATTGAAATTCCCAAGTTTTTCACAGAATTACATAAAAAACTGCCTGCCCAAAATGTATTGGAATTAAGTTATTTTTAGCTCACCTGAGCCAAAGGCTCAAGTGAGCTTTTCTGATCAAAATTTGTCCGTTGTCTGTCGTCGTTGTCGTCTTTGTCGTTGTTGTTGTTGTTGTAAAGTTTTCACATTTTCATCTTCTCAAGAACCACTGGGCCAATTTCAACCAAACTTGCCACAAAGCATCCTTGGGTATAGGGGATTCAAGAACCACTGGGCCAATTTCAACCAAACTTGCCACAAAGCATCCTTGGGTAAAGGGGATTCAAGTTTGTTCAAATGAAGGGACACACCCTCTTTCAAGGGGAGATAATTAAGAATTAGTGAAAATTTAGTGGTATCTTTTAAAAATCTTCTTCTCAAGAACCACTGGGCTGTAAAAGTTGAAACTTAAGTGAGACCTTCATTACATAGTGTAGATTCAAGTTTGTTCAAATCATGACCCCATGGGGTAGGGTGGAGCCACAATGGGGGATCACAGTTTTACATAGGAATATATAGGAATAAATCTTTAAAAATCTTCTCCTCAAGAACAACAAACCCACGATTAGTCATATTGATATGGAATCATCCTCAGGTAGTGTAGATTCAAATTTGTTCAAATCATGACCCCCAGGGGTAGGATTGGGCCACAAGGGGGGATCAAAGTTTTGCATAGGAATATATAGGAAAAAAATCTTTAAAAATCTTTTTCTCAAGAACAACAAAGCCACAATTAGGCATATTGATATGGAATTATCCTCAGGTAGTGCAGATTCAAGTTTGTTCAAATCATGACCCCCAGGGGTAGGGTGGGGCCACAATGGGGGATCACAGTTTTACATAGAAATATGTAGGACAAATCTTGAAATTGTTTTTCTTAAAAACAACAAAGCCACAATTAGTCATAATTTATATGGAAGCATCCTCCGGTAGTGTAGATTCAAGTTTGTACAAAATCATGAACCCTGGGTGGGGGGGGGCACAATGGGGGATCAAAATTTTACATAGGAATTTATAGAAAAAAAAATCTTTAAAAACCTTTCTCTCAAGAACAACAAAGCCACAATTAGTCATATTGATATGGAATCATTCTCAGGTAGTGTAGATTAAATTTTGTACAAATCATGACCCCCAGGGGTAGGGTGGGGCCACAATGGGGGATCAAAATTTTACATAGAAATATGTAGAAAAAAATCTTGAAAAATCTTCTTCTCAAGAACAGCAAAGTCACAATTAGTCATATTGATGTGGATTCATCCTCAGGTAGTGAAGATTCAAGTTTGTATCAAATCATGACCCCTCGGGGTAGGGTGGAGCCACAAGGGGCGATCAAAGTTTTACATAGGAATATACAGAAAAAAAAATGAAAAATCTTCTTCTCAAGAACAGCAAAGCCTTGTTAAGTCATATTGATATGGAAGCATTCTCAGATAGTGTAGATTTAACTTTGTTCAAATCATGACCCCCAGGGTTAGGGTGGTGTCACAATTGAGGATCAAAGTTTTACATAGGAATACATAGGAAAAAACTTCAAAAATCTTCTTCTCAAGAACAGCAAAGTCATGTTTTGTCATACTGATATTGAAGCTTCCTCAGGTAGTGTAGATTCAAGTTTTTTCAAATCATTAACCCTAGGGGTAGGGTGGGGCCACAATGGGTGATCATAGTTTTACATAAGAATATATAGGGAAAAAAACTTGAAAAATCTTCTTCTAAGGAACAGCAAAGCCATGTTTTGTCATATTGATATGGAAGCTTCCTCAGGTAGTGTAGATTCAAGTTTGTTCAAATCATGACCCATGGGGGTAGGGTGGGGCCACAATGGGGGATCATAGTTTTCCATAGGAATATATAGGGAAAAAAACTTGAAAAATCTTCTTCTCAGGAATAGCAAAGCCATGTTTTGTCATATTGATATGGAAGCATCTTCAGGTAGTGTAGATTCAAGTTTGTTCAAATCATAAACCCCAGGGGTAGGGTGGGGCCACAATGTGGGATCAAATTTTTACATAGGAATATATAGGAAAAAATCTTTTCATCAACAGAAAAGCCATGTTTAGTCATATTGATATGGAAGCATCCTCAGGTAGTGTAGATTCAAGTTTGTTCAAATGATGGGGGGGGGGGGGGGTTAGGGAGGGTCCACAATGGGGGATCAAATTTTTAACAAGGGAATATATAGGAAAAAAATCTTTAAAAATCTTCTGCTCAAGAACAGTAAAACCATTTGTTATATTGATATGGAAGCATCCTCAGGTAGTTCAAAATCCAAGCCTCCTCCCCTTTAAACTTTTCAATACTGAAGTGATTTGTGCTTTTTCCTAGCCAATGTGCTCAGGTGAGCGTGTGGCCCATGGGCCTCTTGTTTTTGATACGATATATTCATTAATCTAGATATGTATCGATATACAGGTAAACTTCGGTATCTCGAACACCGGTATGTCGAATACCATGGATATCTCGAAGTGAATCAACGGTCCCGGCTGTTTTTATTATATTTATGATTTTAAAAAACCCCGGTATCTCGAACACGGAAATCTCATATACCTTGCTTATCTCGAAGTAGATTTACGGTCCCAAGTGCTATAAACACATGCGTTATCTCAAAGTCCAACAAATTCTTGCTCTGCTGAATTCTCACCTTAGTACACAATAATCCCATTATGCTAATTTTACGGTCTGTTGAACGTTTCCGTTAGGTCTAGCACAGGCTTCATGAGACCATTGCTGATTATCACACCTTATTAGTCCCAAGCTGTTGTTTTTGGTAGTTAAATTTAATTACGCAAGCCAGGTGATTTGGAGGTGTTAATAAAATGCACTCTCAGAGATACTATGACACGATAATGAAACAGCGGCTTGGGGACGATTACTGTACTAGAAATTTAAATTATCGAAAATACATGCTTATACACATCATTACATATCAAAGTAAACACTGAACACATCAAAGTGATATTGAACTCAAGAAATTAAACAATTAAAGACATTATTTTGAGTATAAAAGTCAGTACCAAAAATCAAATCTTCAGTAAATATCATGTCCGATAAGGCAGTCTAACGAAGGACCCTGTAGCCAACCAGGGGGGATAGTTAGATTATCTGACCATGGTGTAAAAAGAAAACTTAAAGTTCATACAATCGAAACAAAGTTTGCTTTTGTTTATTCATATTGGCAATTTCAATAAATTATTGTAGAATGATAATTCCTGTTGTTACATTTAGGCATGTGGGTATTTGTACATATCCTGTTAAAGTCTGTGTATCACATTATATCATGATATACTTCAGACAAATTAGTACACCCGTAGTTTTTGAATACAATTCATACATTGATTTCATTTGCCACAATGGTCTCTTTAATATTGCAATAATGCATTTGGTCTTCCTAATGCATGTATAATGCAGGTACTGTATATACTCTATGTCCAGCTTATAGGTGAGTCATAAAAAGATTAGTATTTTGAAACCAGGTTAAAACATCAGAGCATTGATTTGAAATTGTCAATTGATTCTGGCAAAAAGTTGTACCAATGTATAAGCGGGTCAATAGCAAATCCCTCCAAAATAACCTCAAAAAATACAACTGACTTATAGGTGGACCACCTTATAGGCAAGTATATATACAGTATAGTTTTTGTTGAATTTTGCTAACAGCAAAACACTATGAATAATGAATTTTGGAAAAAAAAGATTATTAAGTTTAATGATGCATGTACATGTATGTAGTATAGAAATATTGTTCATATGCCTGTACATGGTACAAATATGCATTTTACAGAGTGTACATATGCCAGAATCATATGGACCGCAGACTGGCCCTGGTGATTCCGTTAAGAAAAAAGAGGAAAAATCAGTGCTTGTGCTCATTGGTCACTGGACAAAGGTAAATAGATTTATTTCATGAAACTAAACATGTAAATTACTAGGATATTAAAATATCACAATCAAAATACATGTACTGATTTATATATATATGGATATCAGTTGGTCTCCTTGATAGAGTTAAATGCATTTGTTATCCCTTTTAAGTGGATCATTTAAATATTATGCAGTTTATTTAGAAGCTCTTTATTATCTGCACTGTTCACTTTTACAGGGTGTATGCCAGAATTTTTTCAAGAACAGTCTGAATCTGACATGGAAAAAATGAAGAAAAACAGCCTTCCTGTTTATAAATCTACATTCTGACAAAGGGTAATTTTGTTTAGTTCAATTAGAAGTGCACATTTAATTTCATTTGCTTTCCTTAATGATATATTATAGCATTTTTATTCCCTTATGAACAATATGTATACTTGTAAAGCATGTATCACAAAATCTTCTGCAAACAAAGTTTTGGGTGTATAGTGTTTGTTGTTTAACGTCCCTCTTGAGAATTTTTCACTCATATGGAGACGCCACCACTTGTCGGTGGAGAGCTGCAAATTTTTGTCCTATACTCAGCACTTACGGCCATTGAGCATTGAGGGATCTTTATCGCGCCAGCACCTATTGTGACATGGGACCTCGGTTAATACCTCTGTCTCATCTGAAGAACGGGTCTCCACGTCCCACAGTGGGATTCAAACTCGCGATGTAAGGATCAGCTTCTTTCTCCGCGACTCTAGAGTAGACGCTCTAACCACTGCATCTGCTCTACTTTGGCAACTTTGGGTGTATATAAGCATAGGAATCATCATGTCCATCTGTCTGTTCATGTGTTTGGCCACTTTTATGATTAGTTTTTTGTTCCAATTCTGGCTGAGATAAATTGATTTAAGTCATCTAAATACAAACAAATTAAGGGAAATTACTATGGTATTGGAATGAACATTTTGGAATACTGTCTAATTGTTCCATTGTAGTTGGTTTCTTTAATGTTGAAATAATGCATCTGGTCTTCCTAATGCATGGCATACACTGTATGCATGTGTAATGTTAAAGTTGGCTGAATGTAAAACAGTTCTTGCGTTATGACAAAGGTAAATAGATTTAGTTCATGTAACTGAACATGTAAATTATTATGGTATTAAAATCTCAGGTTTTGAATACTGATTTACATGTGGAGAGTAGTTGGTCTCCTTAATGCAGTAATAATACATTTGGTCTCCCTTATGCATACTGTATATTATATAAATTTAATGACTTACATGTACGAGGGTTGATCCAAAAGTTCATGGAATTTCTTCATATTTTATTTATTTATTAGTGAAAGTGGTTGAATACAGATTTACATGTGGATAGTAGTTGGTCTCCTTAATGCAGTAATAATACATTTGGTCTCCCTTATGCATACTGTATATTATATAAATTTAATGACTTACATGTACGAGGGTTGATCCAAAAGTTCGTAGAATTTCTTCTAGTGTTGTACCGATAATCAGAAAACATCGATTGTTGACAAAAAAATGCTACAGATTCTGATGATCGATTATAGTTTTTCATAATCGATCATCGGAAACATACTTCTAATACAATACATTCCGGAATTATCCATTTCTGGTTTAAAATTTATTTCTTCTTAAAGAAAGAAAATGGCATCTGCATCTGATACTAGCCAACTAGCACGAAGCAGAGGTGATTAAGAACCGAAGATGCATATATAGGGCCTAAAAAAAAAAATATGTTTGTTTCCTGTAATAACCCGACCGACCCATTCAATTTACCCCCGGGTGAATTTTTTTTTTCTGCCAAATCTGTGTTTGCTCTTTGGTTTGATCAATCAGCTGATTCTTTTTATTCAGAAAATATTAATTGTATCTTTTATTTGAGATATAAAATATGCAACTTAGTCAACATTTACCTTAAATATAGAGTGATCAATTCCCCCCACAACTTTTTGAAGTTTGTTTTCTGCCGCTAGGCAGCCATGTTGGGTGTCCACTGTAAATATTTTAAGGTCTAGAAAGTGTAAAAGAAGCAAAACAACAAAGAAAAATAATATATTATGTATTTTATATATTCATGTTAAAGAAATAAATGAAATTATTGTAATAGTCTGCTTTTTGTATACAAAACTATGAAGAAATCCGATTATAATCGGTGAAATCGCATCAGAAGCAGTAACCGATTCCAACCAATGATCGATTATGAAAATTAACTGATGTCTCATCACTAATTTCTTCATATTTTTTTTTATTTATTAGTGAAAGCGGTTGAATACTGATTTACATGACTGTGGAGAGTAGTTGGTCTCCTTAATGCAGTAATAATACATTTGGTCTCCCTTATGCATACTGTATATTATATAAATTTAATGACTTACATGTACGAGGGTTGATCCAAAAGTTCGTAGAATTTCTTCTAGTGTTGTACCGATAATCAGAAAACATCGATTGTTGACAAAAAAATGCTACAGATTCTGATGATCGATTATAGTTTTTCATAATCGATCATCGGAAACATACTTCTAATACAATACATTCCGGAATTATCCATTTCTGGTTTAAAATTTATTTCTTCTTAAAGAAAGAAAATGGCATCTGCATCTGATACTAGCCAACTAGCACGAAGCAGAGGTGATTAAGAACCGAAGATGCATATATAGGGCCTAAAAAAAAATATTTTTGTTTCCTGTAATAACCCGACCGACCCATTCAATTTACCCCCGGGTGAATTTTTTTTTTCTGCCAAATCTGTGTTTGCTCTTTGGTTTGATCAATCAGCTGATTCTTTTTATTCAGAAAATATTAATTGTATCTTTTATTTGAGATATAAAATATGCAACTTAGTCAACATTTACCTTAAATATAGAGTGATCAATTCCCCCCACAACTTTTTGAAGTTTGTTTTCTGCCGCTAGGCAGCCATGTTGGGTGTCCACTGTAAATATTTTAAGGTCTAGAAAGTGTAAAAGAAGCAAAACAACAAAGAAAAATAACATATTATGTATTTTATATATTCATGTTAAAGAAATAAATGAAATTATTGTAATAGTCTGCTTTTTGTATACAAAACTATGAAGAAATCCGATTATAATCGGTGAAATCGCATCAGAAGCAGTAACCGATTCCAACCTATGATCGATTATGAAAATTAACTGATGTCTCATCACTAATTTCTTCATATTTTTTTTTATTTATTAGTGAAAGCGGTTGAATACTGATTTACATGACTGTGGAGAGTAGTTGGTCTCCTTAATGCAGTAATAATGCATTTGGTCTCCCTTATGCATACTGTATATTATATAAATTTAATGACTGACATGTATGAGGGTTGATCCAAATGCTCATGGAATTTCTTCATATTTTATTTTTTTATTAGTGAAAGTGGTTGAATACAGATTTACATATGGATAGTGGTTGGTCTCCTTAATGCAGTAATAATACATTTGGTCTCCCTTATGCATACTGTATATTATATAAATTTAATGACTGACATGTACGAGGATTGATCCGAAAGTTCATAGAATTTCTTCTTATTTTATTTATTTATTAGTGAAAGTGGTTGAAAATTACAAATAAGAATATAGACACTTGTTGAATTTTTTTAATAAAAAAATATTTTAAATATTAATGATAGTAACTCTATGCAGTTGCCATAGCAAAGGATGTTTTAAAATGCATGGGAGACATTTACTCGTTCATTATCATTTTAATTCTTAATACGTGATATAAGAAAAAACCTGCGCTAAGTGGCAAATAAAATAAGAATTTTGTCATTATTACGATTGCTTGACCACTAATATACCTGTCTGTGAGAGTTTTACTGATTTAACTTGATATTTAGATTATTAGTTGATGATTTCTTGTTCATCTTTTAATTGTTAGAGAACGTCACATTTCAGTCAAGTTATAAGTTTTGTTAAAATCTTAGGAACACTCTGACTTAAAGGGGTATACTACTGATACAGGCTGGAGAAAAATGCATTTAGCAACTGATTTTCCAGTGGCGTGAGAAATTTAAGAACAATAGAACTTCCATGGAGGTTGATTAAAGGTGTGGCTGCTTTTGGAGGGTCTGTTTTTCTCGTAGACAAATTAAGCATTGATGAATGTTGACCGCTGACGTACTGTGCTTGACTTTGCCACTGAAATTGGAACATCATATGGAAAGATGGGGAGTATTTTTGAAATATGAGTGTAATATAAAGATAAGTCGATTGGTGGATACCCAGGCTTTTCTTGAGAGAAAAAAGGAGAAAAAGGCAGAATATTCTGTAGAATTACTTAGTTGAATTGAACATGAGGGTGAGATGCTCCTATAACATGACATGACATACTTAACTTGACGTTACGTCGAAGTCTCCCCCGGATTTTACAACTATCAGTGTTCAGAAAGCTCATGTGACCTTATTTGTAATTGGAACGTGGTGAAATTTTCCAGTATTGTTGCATAATGAATCTATATTATAAATATGCCTATTGTTTGCTTTCATCAAATCACAATAAAATTTTAGAAATAATTAAATTCCATGAACTTTTGGATCAACCCTCGTATTAGAAAAAAGATGGATCTAAGATTGAACAGGTTATAATTCACCTGAGTCATTTAAATTACTTATTGCTATCTGTTCTTGTTCAGTCATCATGTGTCAAGTATTGTCTGTAAACTATTGAACATTTTCAGCTTCTTTTCTGAAACCAGTTTCAACTAATTTCTCGGTTGAAGTACTGTATAGGGGATTAATTTCAGGGGTTGTAATTTTCATGTTTTTCTCTCCTCTGACACGATCGCGGTTTGTTGAATTCGCGGAATTGATATATAACTAAGGTTACATGTACCTCCCTTCAATGTCTATATTCGTTTAATCCATAGCATAGCTAGAAGGCATTAATCAGCGTTATGTATTCACTTCACGAACAACAGGGTAGATTTATATATACATCAGCAAGTTCGATAGTTATTTGAATGATTTT